TTGTGGACATTTTGTGTACATGGAATCATACAGTATATGGTTTTCGTATCTTTTCACTTAATGTTTCCAAGGTTCATCCATGTCCTTTTTATTGTGGAGTAGTAAATAGTCCACTGTATGGATACACCTACCACATTTTATTTATCCATCAGTTAAGGGACATTTGGGTTTTCACTTGGTTATTTTAAATCTTGATATGAATATTTGTGTTCAAATTTTTGTGTGAGCATGTTTTTTTCTAGGGTATATACTCGGGAAGAATTGCTGGGGCATATGCTAATTCCATATTTAACTTTTTGAAGAATTGCCAACATTTTCTATAGCACCTGCACCAGTTTACATGCCCACAAGCAATGTGTGATTTCTCCACGTCCTCCCCAGTGCTTGTTATTGTTGGCCTTTTTATTCCTAGCCATCCAGTGCTGTGGGGTCTTGGAGTTTGGGTTTTCCCTAATGACATAAGCATCTTTTCATGTGCTTATTTTTTGTCTATTGAAAAGTACCTCTTGAAACCTTTTGCCCATTTTTAAGTGTTTTATTGTTAAGTTGTAAGTGTTCTTTATATATTCCAGTACCAGCCCTTATGATTTGGGGATATTTCTCCCATTCAGTGGGTTGTCTTTTCACTTCGTTGGATTGTTTGCAACACAGTTGCTCATCTAGATATGGTCCAGCTTGTGGTGTCCTAAGAAACAGCTGTCCAACCCAAGGTTGTGTAGATTTGCTCCTGTTTTCTTCGAGGTGGTGTATACTTTTAGCCTTTACACTTGCGTCCGTGGTGCGTTTTTACTGACTTCACACACTGAAGTCAGTGTGTGATGTGACCCCTTCTCTCGTAAGGACTTTTCTGGAACGCTGCTCTCCGGCCATCCACCGGCCAGAACTTAGCTACATGGCTATACTATCCCATCTGTGTGAGGCTGGACAGCGTGTGTTTCAGGCGTCTTGTATTCAACTTGACCGGTTGGAAGCCTCTCGGCCACAATCTTAGTCTAAACAAGTCCATTCTATAGCTTCGTTTTCCAAATAAATTGATCTGGCGACTTTCACCGCCAGGATTTAGCAGGGGTGTAGCGCGAACCGCCGCTGGCTGTCCGTCTCTCCCTCTCTCTCTCTCTGTCTCTCTCTCTCCACGGGACCTTCCCCGAGGAAAGCGGTCCCGAGGGACTTCCCGGCCGCCCCTCCACCCCACCCCCGCTCCCGCTGCGAATTTGGGCTCAAGGCACTTCGCCTTTGTGGAAACGAAACAGCACTTCGCGGCTTCCCGCCGCCCCGCGCGCCGC